CTGTTTATGTTGTTGGGAAGACTTCTGGTCAACGGTACGCTATTAGTACAGTTGGCTCTCTACATCTGCAGCTTCCCAACCTCAGATCAAAAATATTGTTTCCAATCCACAGTTGCTTGAATCTGTGGGTGTCAAACCTGTGGCTATGAAGGGCAGAATGTAAAGTTTGGGGGGTCAAAAGTTATATGTGGATGTTCAACTGCACCGGGGTAGCACCCCTAACCTGCATGTGGTTCAAGGGTCAACTGTACAGCACCCAGGGAAGCCCCTGTCTCTGCCTCAGACCTTCTGAATCCAATATTTTGGGGGATGGGCACAGGAATCTGTTGTTTTGTGTGAGTTTCCCCTGGTGAATCTGATGCCGCTGGTGCGGAGGCCAGCTCTGAAGTGCTTGTCTGCACAGTGACGGCAGCAGTGCAGACCTTATGTAGCATGCAGATGAGTTCTGTTCTAAAATTGTTGACATTCGGGTCTCCAAGATACTCAGTGCTGACTGCATATAATTGTGTCAGTGAACATTGTGCCTTACTACGTCTTTAGAATATATAATAAAATTTATTATACAACTGAGCTTTTACAATTCCTAATTAAATAGAGGAATAAAAATAAATGGACAAATCCTGGGTGCCTCTTAGATTGTTAGGAAATGCTCAAGTATCAGTGGTAATATGCAGTATTTTGGCCAAAGGGATGATATAATAGCAGCTAATATTTATCAAGTGCTTGCTAAGTGTCAGCCTTTACACATGCTCTCTGTTTGTCCTCGAACCCTCCAGACAATCCTTGTAATGGTTATAGGTGGTACTTGCTGTTAGTGAACAAAGGTTCACTGCCCACAGCACACAGAAGCCAAACTATGGCACAGGCTTATCTTTAAGAAAAGGAAGGAGCTTTATTTGCAAGTCAGCTGGAAGAAGACAGGAGGCAAGGCTCAAATCTGTCTCATCCTGGACTCTGGGTGGGTTTTAAGGAGTAGCAGTTAAGGGTTCACAAGTGTTGCTGGTGAGTGGTGTTTCACAAGTATTACTCGTAAATGGTGTATTCCAGGTCTAAACTTTGGTTCCGGGTCTTGTTAGAAACAGGATAGGACCAGGCTCTGTGGTTACACTGTCATCCTCATATCCTAGATGGAGGAAACTGAGACTCACTGTCATTAAGAGCCTTGCCCAAGGGGCCAAAGCCAAAGACCTGAAGCTAGGAAGTGGCAGAGCCAGCATCCTAACCCAAGTCAGCCTGATCCCATGACGTGTATTTTTAACCACTCTGTAAGAGCATCCACTATTTCTATAATTCCAGAAAGCTGCAGTGAATTTTTGCTGGATCAGTATGTGCTGTGTGTGAATTAAATAAAAATATTTGGGTTTCTCCCTATAATGATTAACCACAAAATGTTCACATAGCAGTGAAAGTACTTCTCAAAGTGCTGCAACGTGAAGAGGAGCACACAGTGATAATTTCCATCCTGGAACAAAGGATGGTGGTGAAACTTGTCTTAACGTTTGTGCCGGGGGAAGCAAAGTTATTTGAGTGATTCAGTCAATTTTTACAGGGTAAGCAAAGTTATTTGAGTGGTTCAGTCAATTTTTACAGGGTCTACAGGATGCCAAGTACATTTCAAGTTTTTGTGGGCACTGGAAGATAAAGGCCAGTGGGTCCCCACCCCCCCACCCCGCCCGCGCCAGGGCCAGTGGGCTTTAGGACGGAGATGGGCCATCTTCCTCCTGCCAGGTGGGGTTCCTTTGGGGCCAGACTCTGAAGAGCCTGTGTCTTTGGGTGACAACAAGTGTGGGCTCCAAGAAGCAAGGCCGAAAGTAATGGCAGTTAAATCCAGTGGCCAGTTTTAAGTTATTCTCTGTATATTATTTCCTTGCCCACAAACCTGTTGGGCCTTGTTCAACACTCTATTGTGGTCTTAATAGTGAGTGGGAAGATAGGGGAGAATCTGGGCTCATCTTTAGAGCAGAGAAAAGAGCTACTCCCTCCCAAGCCCAGCTGCATGGTGAGGCACAAACTTTAAGGGACAAGATTCTGGTCCAGTCACCCCTCTAAACTCGGTGTTACTTTTTTGTTTTAACTGTTAACATTGAACGGTCGGGTGTCACTAAGGGGTTTAGCAGGCTTCCCTTCACATGTTATACTGACTGGGAGAAGATGGGTCTTGCTGGAGAGTTTATGTCAGAAAGATGAAGGAAGAAGTTGGGTGGGCCTTGGTAATGAAAGGCCTTGGATTTATGCATTCATTCAGTTTATTAAATACCTCCGATGTGCCATGGGGCACATAGGCAGTGCGGATATATCAGTGAACAGTAAAGTCTATCCCAACGGAGCCAGCAACTATTCTGACAATGCCCTACGATGTAAGGGGCTGCAAACTTAATAGCTGATGAATTCTGTCCTCTTGGAGTTTACAGTGAAGGGACAGAAGTATATGCAGAAGAGTTTCATAATAATACAAGGCATCTGTTTCATTCAACATATTTATTGATTACCTATTATGAAGTAGGCCATGTGTTATGTGTCAGAGAAATGAAATAGAGACATGGCCTTACCCTCGTGGTGCAAACAGTGTTGTAGGTAACAAAGAAGAAAAAAAAGAGAAAAACAAGCAAATGGTAGGTGCTAAGAAACTTAACAGGAGGCTGCTGGAATGACAGTGGATCCTACTTTAGAAATAGTGGTGTGAGGAACTTTCTGCTGAGACAAAAAAATACCTACCTATTTATAGAGTATTCTTAGCAAAGGCCTTGAGGTGGGAAAATGATGAGTCCAAAGAAAAGGCTGGAGGATGGGGCCCAAGATGAATGGTTGAGTTGAGATGGAACATTAGGCAGGATTGTGTAGAGCCTGGTAAGCCATGGTAGTCAATTTCATTTTAGAAACATGTGCCACAAGCATGCTAGCGTCTGGGATCAGAGTTTGGGACATTACCTACCGAAATTACTGTTGCCCACTCCCACCTAACAAAGCAGTCTATGGTTTGAATAGGTATGGGGAAGGGAAGAAGGACATGAGGCATAGAAAGGTTTGTGTTCCTCCCACACAGCAGCCAGAATGTTACTTCTAAACCAGCAATTTTCAACTGGTGTGCCACAAGATTTTTTAAAACATGCCATTACCTGGACTAGTCCAGGGGCACTGTCCTCTTTTAACCCTCAGACTGTCACATAAAAAATGACAACTACCAACACAATAGCCGTCTGATGTGAATGAATAAAAATTATACCTATTTTGTCCTGGTCGGGTGGCTCAGTTGATGGAGCATTGTCCCATACACCAAAAGGTTGTGGGTTTGATTTCCAGTCAGGACACACACCGAGGTTTCAGGTTCAATTCCCAGTCGAGTGTGTACAGGAGGCAACCCATCGATGGTTTTTTCACATCAATGTTTCTCTCTCTAAAAAAATCAATGAAAACATATCTTTGGGTGAGGATTAAAGAAAGAAAAAAAATCATACCTTATTCTTTTTGTCAGATAGGCAAAAAAAACAATATTTTTTTGGTGGGCCGAAGAATATTAGTAATTAGTTGATGTGCCATGAGATGAAAAAAGTTGAAAATCGCTGTACTAAACACATCTGACAGCTCTGGCCGGGTAGCTCAAGTGATTAGAGTGTTGTCGGATACAACCAAGGTTGCCAGTTCGATCTCTGGTCAGGGCACATACAATAATCAACCAATGAGTGCATAAATAAGTAGAACAAGTTGATGTTTCTCCATCTAAAATCAATAAATAAAAACTTAAAAAATAAAAATAAATAAGTAAATACATCTGACAGTATTACTCCCTTGCTTAACCAAACAGGTCAACTGCTTACCGTTGTTGAGGATAAAGTTAACAATTATGTCTTACATGTATTAACTCATTTTTATCCTTACAATAACCCCGTGGTTAGTGCATTATCTCCATTTTGTAGTTGAGGAAATGGAGGTAGGGAGATGTCAAGTAACTTGCTCAAAATCATAGAATTAGGCAGTGTCTACAAAAGAAACATCCAAACCTGCAGAGAATTTTTATAAGTTTATTTGAGCCAAGCTGATGACATAGGCTGGGGAGCAAGATCTCAAGTGCTCCGGAGAATAACAGTCTTGCAGTTTCTTTTATGCGTTTAAAATTAAGGAGGGAATGTAAGGAAGATTACATAAAGGTGGGAAAAAGCAAGGCCAGGATTGGATTACAGGATAGTTAGCGAGGTTCTGTGCTTGCGTGAGGCTGGTTATGGTTAATTTCAAAGGTGTATTAACCCAGATGCACAGAAACAACGGACAGGGCTTGCTTAAGGCAAAGATGAACCTTTTACTAAAAGTTATTAGTACATGCCTGGGGTTGATTACCCAACCTGACTTGCCCAGTTAGGGATTTATGGTAAGATCACCCTGTGAAGTTACTTTCCATGGAAAAGTGACAGAAGAAGAAGTCAAACCAAGTAGGTTGGCTCTGGAGTCCATGTTTCACTTAACCACTGGACATTCAAGACTGAAATCCCTAAAGCAGCCTGCAAGGCTTTGGTCTATAGTACACCCACGCTGGCTCCCGCAGTTCCCTCTCCCCCAGCTTCACCGCAGGGGGATGGGGGGCGGGGGGAGCCCAGGAACCAGAGGAGTCCGGCTCCCGCCTGTGTTCTGCCTCCTCCGCCACCAGAGGGCGCCGCGGGCCGCTCTCCCCTCCACGAACCCAGAATGGGGGAAGCTCGGAGGGCGGGGTGCCGACTGCAAAACCACTTCGGCGTCTCCCCACCCACCTCTGGGCACAGGGCTGCGGACGAGCACCTTCCGCTAAAGCCTGTGGCAGCCGGAGGAAGAAACCAAAGTCTGTCCAAGGCTGAGACTCTCAAACCTTTTTTCAACGCGCTGACTCCGGGCGCACTGCGGCAACACTGCGGCGGGAGGAGGCGGAGCTCGGGCCGCAGCCCCGCCCACCCGGGCTTTCGCCACGCCCCCGGCCCACGTGACCAGCGCCGCCATCTCGGGGCCGGAAGCGCTCCCGAGCCCGCGCGCGCGCTCTCGCGTGTCCAGGCGCCCGTGAAGTGCCCCCAACTCCTTCCCTGCTGCGCGCGTGCGCGCGCTCGTTCCTGGGCCCCGGTCCGAGAGTTCCTCGACGGCCGCGCGCGCCGCTCAGCCCGGTCCCCGCCCCCAGCACGCGGGCTCCCGGGGGCATCTCAGCCATGTGCTCGCTAGCGTCGGGCGCTACCGGTGGGTACTCCCGGCCCCTCAGCACCCGCCCCGCCGAGGGGCTGATGAAAGACCCTCTCCTCCCCTGCAGGCTCCGGGGCGCGGAGCCCGGGCGGTAGGGCCTTGCTGGGGGTGCGGGGGATGCGGGAGGTGCCGGGGAGCTGGACGCGGGCGGCGCTCCCCTGCAGTGGAGCCTCTCCCCACCCACCTCCTCGTGCGCGGGGCGGGCGGGCCCTGGCGTCCGAAGCGGGGCTGACTTTTGCGTGTGCTAGGCGGCCGGGGCGCCGTGGAGGACGAGGAGGACCTGCCGGACCTGTCAGACAGCGGGGACGAGGCCGCCTGGGAGGACGACGACGATGCTGAGCTCCCCCACGACAAGCAGCAGACGCCCTGCCTGTTCTGTGACAGGTTCGTCCGCTCCGCGCCCGGCGGTGCCCGGGCCACGTGGGTCCGCGTGCCCTGCCCTCGCCTTCTCCCGCCAGTGGTTTGGAGCGCGGGCTTGTGGAGAAGGGAGACCCCAGGTGGTATGGAGGGAGGAGCCGTGGCCTGGCAGCCCGGTCGGCGGCCTCGGTTTCCCCTGTAACAGGAGAGGGTTTTGCACTGGATCTGTGGTTCCCAATCCTGGTTGTGGACCTGTGTCACCTGAAACACTTAGGAAAGAACGCAGATGCGGAACTCCGCTCCACAGTCCTTCTAGGTCAGGATTGCGACCCAGGAATCTCTCTTTTTATAAAGGCCCCGATCTCAGGTGACTCTAATCAATAACAAGTTTCAGAGTCACTAAACAATAATCTCTCGGGAGGACCCTTCCAGCTTTACCATTCTGTGACACTGACCAGCTGAGAGCTTCTCAGGTCCAGTACTTCATTTGAACCATCTATATATGTAAAAGCCTAAGTGACCAAAGGACCAGTCACTATGATGTGCACTGACCACCAGGGGGCAGACACTCAACACAGGAGCTGCCCCCTGGTGGTCAGTGCACTCCCACAGGGGAGCGCCACTCAGCTGGCTGACGGGCTCCAGACGCCTGGCTCACAGCTGGCGAGCCCGGCTTTGGTGGCGGGAGCTGGCGGGAGCCTCCCCCACCTCTGGCAGTGCTACTGAGCGGAGGAGGCAGCAGGCGCAACGGGGCGGGATGAGCGGGAATGGTGTGGTGCCCACCCGGGCTTGGGCTCCTCCCCAGCCGCCTGCCACTTCCCGCACTACTACATCCCTCAGGGGATGCCGGACTGCCAGTTTCAGGCCAGCCTGCAGGGATCGGGCCAAAACCGGCAGTCTGACATCCCCCGAGGGGTCCCGGATTGAGAGAGGCACAGGCTAGGCCAGTGGTCGGCAAACCGTGCCTCGCGAGCCACATGCGGCTCTTTGGCCCCTTGAGTGTGGCTCTTCCACAAAATACCACGTGCGGGCGCGCACATACAGTGCGATTGAAACTTCGTGGCCTGTGCGCAGAAGTCGGTTTTCGGCCTGTGCGAGTCTATTTTGAAGAAGTGGCGTTAGAAGAAGTGGGGGGTGTCGGTCGGGCGACGGGAGACACGGTGCAGGCGGGTGGCGGGAGACGCGGGGTACATTGTTTTGAGGTACGTTCGCTGAGGTCGACCCTTTCCAACTCTCCCATCCACACTCTCTATCTGAAACAAGTATACAAGACGAGTGTGGATGGGAGAGTTGGAAGTGGTCGACCTCAGCAAACATACCGCAATCAGATTGAGGACGTTTTTAGCAAAGGCCAGTTTAGGAGTACCCTAATTAAGTGAATAACAATGTACCTACCTATATAGTTTAAGTTTAAAAAATTTGGCTCTCAAAAGAAATTTCAATCGTTGTACTGTTGACATTTGGCTCTGTTGACTAATGAGTTTGCCGACCACTGGGCTAGGCTGAGGGACCCCATCGGTGCACGAATCCGTCCACCAGGCCTCTAGTTTAAAGAGTAACCCTTTTTTGGTAGGGCTCCCCCCCTGTTGAAGGGGAAGGAATTGATGCCTTTTCACTTAGGTTAAAAAAAAAAAGCTCCGATATCAATAACTTGCTCAAGGTCACACAGCTGTGGTTTGTCATATCCAAACCCATGTTCTTTCCACGTACAATTCTGCCTCTTCCTCTCCACAAGCATTGACTCTGGCTGCTGTCCTGGCATGTGGGCATGAAAGAGGCTTGTGTGGCATCAGCCAGGGTCACCTGAATAAACATTTTCCAGTTTTCCTTAAATCTGGGCATGGTGCTGGTTTGGTGGTAGGTTAGTGCCTCTGGATTCATCATTGTTCGCACCTGTGGCCTCATTGGGGCAGCTGTAGAATGTCTACATATCCTCCAGGCACTGTGACATTTGTGGAGCATCAGGATGGACTTCTCTGTGACAGGCTGCAACAATACTGCAAAAAGGACGGGTCTTGGTAAACATTTGTTGAGAGCTAACTACTGCATGGCGCTGTGCGAGGCATAGAAAAGAGGCGCATGGCTTCTGTGCTGTGTGTGCCTGCTTTGCGTCCTTCAGTTTTGCAGGTCACATCACCGAGAGACTTGGTCCTCACAGTGTCGGTAATGCAAGTACTTTGGGAACACTACAAGGTCACCTTTGAAGTACGGCACTTAGGGAATATGCCAGCTGTAAAATTACATTGTATGCTTTATTTCTGAAAGTACTCTGAGCTTTGCCAGTTCAAAGCCTCCAAAAACAGAATTGACATGTAAGAGGAGAGAAAGGTCTTATGTAGGGAATTTTCATATCTTGAGAGAAACGGAATCTATCAAAGGGAGTTCTCTTTCTTAAAAGCCTTTTGGTAAATTCGGTGCTTTTAATTGGCAAATAAATTACCTTTGACATTTAATGTGGCGTTGGTTTGTTTTAGGTGTAAAATGGAACTGAGAAGAACTGATTCCCTACAGTGGTTCTCAACCTTCCTAATGCCGCGACCCTTTAATACGGTTCCTCATGTTGTGGTGACCCCCAACCATAAAATTATTTTCGTTGCTACTTCATAACTGTAATTTTGCTACTGTTATGAATCGTAATGTAAATATCTGATATGCTGTATGTGTTTTCCGATGGTCGCGACCCACAGGTTGAGAACCGCTGCGAAGTTCTGGTTCCTGACTACAGAGAATGTTTGTTCTTAATTGGGAATAAAACTAGAAACCAGCAGGTTGGGGGGTAAAGGGAGTGTATGTTTAACATAAAATCAGTATTTAAACTTCTTGGGGACTTTTTCATGAAGCTATTTATTGCTTGATTTTTCAGGTTATTTACATCTGCTGAAGAAACGTTTTCGCACTGTAAGTCTGAGCATCAATTTAATATCGATACCATGGTCCATAAACATGGTGAGTATTTTTTAGAATAAGGAAAATTTTAGTTTTGAAATTTAGGTTCAAACTTTGTTTTTCCAGACCTTTCCTTTTCTAAACAATAGTGAAATATATAGCAACAACCTATCTTTTTTTGGCAGTGGCCTTAGGGGAAAGATTAAATATAAGTGATTCTTCTAGGTAGGATTTCACTGTAAGCTTATATTGACTTCACAACTCAAAAGGAAGTCAATATAATGATTGCATTTTTATCATATTAGAATTAAGGAGAGCAAGAGAATATATTAGAATTAATGAGAGCAAGCATAAAGGTGGACTTGGGAAAGGAGGTGGAACATTATGAAAAAAGACAACTTATGTGAAAAAGCATGTGAAATTCAAGGCATACAAGGTCGAGTTTTATAAGGAGTTTGGTAAGAGATTATAGAAAAAGGATTGATGAAATTAAGGTGGTAAGTAAAATATTTAGATGATTCTTTTGAGACTTGCATTTAATCATACCTATTTTACTAATAAAGCTTTCCACTTCTTTAAATGGATATAGAAGACCTGCACTGTTCCACTAAAATTAAATACAGAATTATTTTTTTGGTCCCTGTATTTACTAACAGCTGCAAAGGACATTAGATAAATGTGACATAATATATTTATAAATTTAAGTGCAACTACTTTTGAAAGGCATGGATAACTTAGTTTCATTGGATTTTTTTCATGTTTATAACATGCATTTTTAAATTATGACTTGGAATCATACTGTAAATATAACTTTGTACTAGAGGCCCAGTGCATGAATTCGTGCCCGGGTGGGGTCCCTCGGGGTGGCCTGCGGGGATCTGGCCCCAGCTTGTGCCCCCATCCTTGCAGCCCCATAACCCAGCCTAGCATCCTGCCGTGGCCTGGTGCCGCACCCTCACCTGCTCCACCATCCCACCTACGGGGTGATCGATCTGGGCCAGGCCCCTGCCTGGCTCCCTCAGCACCTGGGAGCCGGGTGGCAGCCTTGCCCCCCGCCGCTGGTTGCCATCTGTGGGGTGATCGGCGGGGCGATCAGGCCCCTGCTCGCACCCACCTTGGCCTGGCGCCACCTGCTCACCTGCTCCACCATCCCACTGCAGTCCCATTCTTGTCAGGGACCATTAGGGTCAGCAGCACCTCCATTGCTACCTGCTGCCAGCACCATGTCACTGACGCCCGCCATGTTCTGCACCATCCCCTGGTGGTCAGTGTACATCATAGCAAGCAGTCGAACTCCCGGTCGAACAATTTGCATATTAGGCTTTTATTATATAGGATTTTTTTCTTACCACATAGGGGTTTTTATTTGCTACTAGAGGCCCAATGCATGAAATTCTTGTAAGGGTAGGCCCTCGCAGCCCCGGCTGCCTCGGCACTTGCAGCCGCCCTGGCTGCTGCCTTGGCTCTCGCAGCCCCAGCTTTGTTCAGAAGGTTGTCTGGACGGTCGTTCCGCTGTTCAGCCATTTGGTCAATTTGTATATTATGCTTTTATTATTATAGATTATGCACATAAAAACATTTTGTACGCCATTATGTTCCTTATACAACATTTTCCAGGAGAGATCTGTTAGATATGCTATTGACTGGAAATCAAACCTGAGACCCTTCAGTGCTCGGGCTGATGCTCTAACCACTGAGCACACCAGCCAAGGCTATTTTCCCCTGTTTTAAATGCTGTTTCACTTCTGGAAATATATGAGAACCAGATAACAAGCCTCATTGTTTTTCAATATGCATCATTTAACTTAATGTTAAAGCTAATATACTTCGTATACTCCAGATTCTGGCTAAATTATAATTTGGTAGGCACTGTAAAAACTGGGATGTAGGAACTTTCAATTCTAATATCAACTGCCCTATATTTGGCAAAGTCTGTGACCTAAGTTTCCTGATTTGTAATGCTCTTAGAAATGAGAAGAGTTCTAAAAATTAATTTTCCATATTTTAGAAATGCAAGAAAAATATTAATTGTCATCTGTGCTAGCTGTTTCTCAATTACAATATTCAGAAGTATCAAAATACTATTTCTAGTTCTTAATAAGAAATTAAAAATATTATAAGTTTTAGTTTAGAGCAGCAGTTGCCAACCAACCGGTGGTCCATGAGGTCCAAAAGGTTGGCGACCGCTGATTTAGAGGACAGAAATGTTTTATTGTCTAACCAGAGAAGCCTCTATAAAACAGGTCAATTAAACAAAACTCATGTTAAAATAGGTAAATTATCTTTTTTCCCCCTTTAGGACTTGAATTCTATGGATACATTAAACTAATAAATTTTATTAGGCTTAAGGTAAGTTGGTGCTTAATTTACAATTTTGTTTTAAAACTAAAGAAATACTGCTACCAGTGGTGACTAAAAGAATATGAAGAACTACTTTACAAGAAACTGTTTTAAATTTGTCAGTCATCATATTGGAATCATGGACATTAGGAAATGCCACAATATACAGGACCAAGTAAATCAGGGGTTGGGGAACTTTTTTTCTGCCAGGGGCTATTTGGATATTTATAACATTCGTGGGCCAAAATTATCAACCTAAAAATTAGCCTGCTATATTTGGTCAAACATTTAATTAACTCACCCCTAATACCTTGGCAGGGCCAGACCAAATGATTTCACGAGCCTTAGAGGCCAGAGGGTGAAATGTTCCCCACCCCTGAAGTAAATGGAGGCACACCATGCTTAATAAGTGTCATTTTTAACTGCATCTAAGAGATGAATCATCAGTGTTATATAAAAAAGTAATTCAGAGTCAGATAAAGGGAAATACTGAAAGTTTCTGAAAATCAGAAATAATTTCTAGTGTGATTTCAAGTACTGTGGTTGCTTTCTTTGTTCTATTTTTCAAATACTTCGTTCTTCTTTCTGTTCTATTCAAATGAGTATTTACATTGCCACTTCCTCCAGATCCCAACAATATAAAATTGTGCAGTGATACCATTGATTAAGCAGTCATCCAATCAAGTTAAGGACATGACAATTGAACATAGACTCCTTAAATAGAGATTTTGTGTAATGTCAACATGATTTCCTTTTTTGTTTAATTTTCCTAGTTTTTGCTAAGGGAATTTTATGATTATATGCATTGAAAAAACATGCAATTAATTTTACATTCAGAATCCTACAGTTGAGTATATGAATTCCATATGTAATCCAGTGCCTTGGGAAAAAGAAGAGTATTTGAAGCCAGTATTAGAAGATGACCTTTTACTTCAGTTTGGTAAGATGAATACATCCTTTGTGGAATATGTTTCAAATATTATACTGTACTTAAAGAAAAAGTAAACTCCAGCCCTAACCAGTTTGGCTCGATGGATAGAGCATCGGCCTGCGGACTGGAAGTTCCCAGGTTCAATTCCGGTCAAGGGCATGTACCTTGGTTGCGAGCACATCCCCAGTAGGGGGTGTGTAGGAGGCAGCTGATCGATGTTTCTAACTCTCTATCCCTCTCCCTTCCTCTCTGTAAAGAATCAATAAAAAAAAATATATATATATATAAAAAAAAGTAAACTCCATTTTATTCACTCAGATTTCATTAGTTTTTCCCTACTCTCCCCTTTCTGTTCTAAGATCCCATGTAGGATACACAGTATATTTAGTTGCCATGTCTCCTCAAGCCCCTCTTGGCTATGACGGTTTCTCAGGCTTCCCTTGTTTTTGATGACCTTGACAGTTTTGTGGGTTACTAGTGTACAAATATTTAAAGTGGAACATGATTTGCATAGTTCAAAGTATTGTCCCAAGAAATTTATTTTTATTTTTGTTAATCCTTATCTGAGGATATTTTTTCCATAGATTTTTATTTCTTTTCTTTTTTTTTTTTTAGAGAGGGTGGAAGGGAGGGAATGGGGAGAGGAGAGAGAGAGAGGGAGAGTGAGAGAGAAACATCAATATGATAGAGATACATCATTTTGTTGCCTCCCACACGCCTGGGATCAAACCTGCAACCCAGATATGTGCCCATGACTGGGAATCAAACCCAAAACCCTTTAGTGCACAGGCCAACGCTCTAACGACTGAGCAATACCAGCCAGGGCCCAAGCAATTTATTAATTACAAAGGAGATGTAAACTTTTCAGTGGAGGAATCCAGCAGACCACACCAAGTGATTGAGGCAGGCATGAGTTTGAATCTTAGTTCCTTCATTAAACAGCTGTATAACTTTGGGCTAGTCGCTTAATTTTTCTAAAATTTATTTTTCCCATGCATTAATCCAAGGATAATTATTTACAATTTAGCTTTCCTTTGAGGATTAACTGAGATGTAATACATGTACATGGAAGGTAGCTGATAATCAATAAATATTAGGGTTTTTTCCTTCCACTTTTTTGTTTCTTCTGGCATTTGGTTCCGTATAATTAATGCTTATTTATGTTTTTAATTTAGCCAACTAATGAAAAACATGGACTAACAGCATGCTCTTTAAATTCAAATGGAAGCAGTTTGGATTTATACATTGATTTAAAGTACTTTTACTAATTTTTTTCAAGTGGCTGCATAATAGGCATTTAGTATGTATGTATTTATTCCTAACATATTTATATATTTATTATAAGATGGCCTGATAATGTCCATTTATTTCTTTAGATGTAGAAGATCTTTATGAACCAGTATCAGTCCCATTCTCATTCCCCAATGGACTCAGTGAAAATACCTCTGTTGTTGAAAAATTGAAACATATGGAAGCCAGGGCACTGTCTGCTGAAGCTGCATTAGCTAAAGCACGTGAGGATCTTCAAAAAATGAGGTAATTTATCAGTCTTATAAAAAATTGTTTAGACCCCCTCCCCCCCCAAAAAAATAATACAACTAATAATAAGATAGGATATGGTAAGGCATTTTATATACTGGAAAGTACAATGTAGATATTTAATTTTAATATATTACAGCAATGCAACAATATTTTTATACATTGTGACATTGTTGATTAACAAAGTTCTCATATATTTTATCATTTTATACTAATGATAATTGTTCTGGGGAATGTTGTCTTCTTAAGTGTTTTTGTTCTTTGATGCTGCCTTCCTTCGAATTACCCCATTTCTAATAGATTTCTCCATTTTACTTTTCCTCTCCTAGGCTTTTGTGTTGTTGTTAATCCTCACCCAAGGATATTTTTTCCCCTTGATTTTTAGAGAGCGTGAAAGAGAAGGAGAGAGGGGGAGAGAGAAAGAGAGAGAAACATCGATGTGAGGGAGACACATCGATTGATTGCCTTCTGCTTATGCCCCAACCTGGGGGCTGGGGTTGAACCTGCAACCCTTTGGTGTGAGGGCCAATGCTCTAGCAACACTGGCCGGGGCTCTTCTCCCAGGCTTTTAAAGTGGTGGGATTAATATTTTTAGGTTTGGGAGGAATACGGGGTTAAAATGTTTGCTTTTAAAGAATCAAAATATAATTATGGTATAGTATTTAATCAGAACACCAGACAATTATGATGGTTTTCTCCAGTGAGTAAATTAGCATTCTACTGGCTTAGTACTTCTCAGAATTTAATGTGCATGTAAATCACCTGGGGATCTTGTTAAACTGTGGATTCTGATTCAGGAGGTCTCAAGTAGGGTGAGATTCGGCCTTTTTACCAAGTATACCTCTAGCTTTACCTTCTGGATTTGTAATTTGGTTGTTGCCCGAGTACCCACTTGATCGTTTGCCAGAATGTTGAGTAGGAAGGACAGTATAGCTGATTGCAGTTCCCCTTGCCTGTTTCTGAGATTTTATGCTGGGTAACCTACTAACCACCAATAACTCTACTGTCTGCATCTTTACACTTCTTCCACATGCATACCTTACAGATTCTTAATATATGATCAGAGAGGGAACTAAATTTTAGAGCTGAAGTGGATGGTGTTGGTGTATGTAAATCTCAATTTGGGTCCACTTTCTACCCATATAACCCTTTGATGAGATAATAGGTTTTAAAGAATATTAATAGTGTCGAAATATAGTATTACATTGATTCAGCTACTAAAATAAGCTTTTGGAATATTAAGAATAATAAAGTTGAATAAAGGTAATGTGCTTATTTTATTCAGTTGAAAGATATAAACAGCTATAATCTGCAGTTGGCAGGGCTTTGTGGTTTGCAGAAGGAATGCTTACAACTGGGTTTGAATATGCCATTGCTTGAGATCCAGCAGGGGGAGCTTTCAGTTGCTTACGATAGAATTATTTAGAAAGCTCATTACATTCTACTCACTCCTGCCCCCCCCCCTTCCTCTTCCTCAACCTCTAGCCTTCCCTTTTTCATGGTCCAATAAACCTGTCTCAAGGGTGTATTTCAAATTGATTACAGACAATTTGCTCAGGATTTTGTGATGAACGCAGATGTCAGAACCTGGTCAGCATCTACTACTGCCATTGCAGACCTTCAGGAGGATGAGGATGGTGTTTATTTCAGCTCATACGGGCATTATGGGATACATGAAGAAATGCTAAAGGTTAGAAAAGAGCACAAATGCACCAAATCCATAATTAAGGAAAATTTTAATAAGACAAGTCCTTAATACATATGCTATAGGAAACTGGTTTCTGGTTTTTTGTTGTTGTTTTTTTTTTTATAACTGCTTTTCAAATCTCTTTGATGCTTGATAGCTCATCTTGTATTAAAAAGATTGCAGAAGCATCAAAGTCATTTAACTTCTGTTTAAGATCATTATTAATCTTTGTTATGGAATTACTTTTGCTTTAAATAGGACATTGGTAAAAAATCAACTGCTTTAGTCTTCTCAAGAACAACTATTAAATATGAATAAATTATATGTTTGCCTTAAAGTGTACAAAGGAAATGATTAATTTTAGTGTTTTAAATGGCTATACTGGCTTCAGTTTGGGCAAATAATTCCTTGGTACAAAGTTTATAAGTAATTTTCAATTGTTACGGCATAACTCTTTTACATTTGAAATCATTGATATATAGAGAAATTTTCTAAATTGGTTAAATCAGATATTTAAGTTTGGATGGTTTTAATTTTTGTAATAGTAATGTAAACATAAAATACAAGTAGATTTCTAGTTATACCTGGTAGTTATAGATTTCTAGTTATATATTTCATCATGTATTATATTATATATTGTAAACTAGTAAGATGTAATTTTTCCATTTAGTAAAACTGAAAATATCTAACTAGAGCAAAACAAATGTTGAAATATAAAACTTATTGAAAATTTTAGATGTTTATCTCTCTGAATTTTAGAATCCACGACCTTTTCTTGAAATGAACAAACAAATAATTCCTTTCTGAATGATTCCTCAGAAGATTGTTTTGTTATGGAAGCCTCAAGACTATGTTCCCCTAAAACATATACATTTGAAATAACCAGGGGATTTAATAATATATATATTTTGTTCATTCAGTTTTATAGATTCAAAGAGGGAAGACTTGCTGATTAATAGTAACTTAATTACTTAAGGTTTTTTTAAAGCAGTGTCATGTCATTTTTTTTAGTAATGACATGTCATGTCATGGTTGTGCTTCTTGTTGTCACTTGGGTAATGGCATAGCATTACAAATAATGGTTATCTTATTAGAACTAATATATTATTTTAAGTCCAGAGTGAAATTGTATAAAAGAAACTCACTTCATTTTTTTTGTGATGGTTGTTAAAATTAATTTTATTGTGTCTAGAATATTTTCCTTGAAGTAGTTAATCTAAGCCCATGTTTGTCCTTTTACATCACCCCATCAATCTGAATGCCATAAACCTTTAATGCCTTTGGCATAGAAATTGTGTTGCATTTTTCAGACAGATGAGTTTAAGACTCCCAGTAGGTAGTACATGTGAGTGTCTTTAACGCAGTATTCAGGGAATTCCACTTTGAGCACTTATTTCCAATACTCTGTCCTGGATACTTGTAGCTATATATCAATAACTAAAACATCTTTTTTTAAAAAAAAATTTTTTTTATTGACTTTTAGAGAGAAACAGAGAAACATCGATTAATTGGTCCACACCATTTTTGCCTTCATTGGTTGATGTCTCCTTTTTCCCCCATTGACCTTTCCCTGGCCGCTCCTACTCCCCAGCACATGCCCTCACCCCCTACTGTCTGTGTCCTTTGGTTATACTTTTATGCATGCATACAAGTCCTTTGGTTGATCTCTCACCCCTCCTCCCTCAACCCTCCCCTGCCTTCCCTGTGAGGTTTGACGATCTGTTCAATGCTTCTATGTCATTGGTTGATTCTTGTATGTGCCCTGACTGGGATCAAATCTGCAACCTTTTTGGTGTATGTGACAATGCTCCAACCAATTGAGCTACCCAGAAGAGTCTAAAATTTTTTTTTAAATAGTCATAGGAATAATTCCTTGACTCTTACTAGTCTTAAAACAATATCTTGCTTTGTAGTATTGGAGCTCCAATTTTATTCTTTTTTTGTGTGTGTGTTTCTTGGTTTCAATATGTTGGTGCAAAAGATGATTTTTTAATTTCTGTTTAGTACCTTATTTTGCAATTAAGTGTTACTCTTTTGGTGAAATGTATTTTTAGAAATAGTTATAAGGGCTAGTCTTATATGCTTGCATTTTTGTATTCAGTGGATTTTTCTTTAAAGCTTCAGTTATTAAATTGAAACTGCTCTGTCTGAGGCACTATGTTAGGTATACTTTGGATTTCATGGCACCAGGGTGAGCATATGAACAGTAACAGATGGATATATAGAAAGAGCCTGGATGAAGGATTATAGTTGAGCAGAGCAGCAGTGCATGAACTTAGGACAGAAGTTGGGATGGTAATGATTAAGTTGGAGCAGTGGTGAAGCAATGTGATTGGTGAGGGCTTTCCAAGTGACTGGCTTCTTGACTGATGTTCCCATTTGTAGGTTTTATTGTGTCAGCAAAAATTACTGCTTATGGTATAAGAAGAGTATAAAAATGGCACAAATGTATGAAATGCTATGTTTTTTAAGTTTTAAAATTAGTTAATATGTGTAAACGTATTTAAACAGATTTTTTTTTTTTTAGTAATTCTTAAAATCTTTCAGGGAAAGATTTAACAAACCTGATTTAAAATGTTTAAAAAGCCATTAGTAATAACCATCAAAAAGTGTGGAATTAATTATGGAATTCCCCCTTTTTAGATCCAGTATTTAAGTAAAACAATTTTTCTTTTAATTTAAAGCTTCCTTTAAATGTTTTGCGTGTTGTTTTTAAATCATAATATTGGCATAAAAATTTCTTGGGGGTTGTGTGCCTTCTATAAATTTTATATTGTAGTATTTTGTGTAACTATTTTTTTGTTTTAATTTATCTAGTGTGAAACCCAAAATTAGAATTTCTAGTTTGAGATATTTTTTTCATTCTCATTTTACTCACTTGGCAACAGAGCCCTTTGCTGCTTACTTTGCTGTTTGTATGTATCTCAAGTGAGGTAATTTAAAAGGAAATCAGCTCTGTTCATGAACCAACATAAATGTTAGCATTCAGTACCTGCCTTGTCACAGGTCATGTGAGACTCCAGAGTGCAGAAGTCTCAGTATGTGAGCTGCAGGGCTCAAATGATTTACTTTTAAGCATCATTTCCTACTACAGACATTTGTAGAAGCAAGACAGGATTATAAATCAGATAGGTGCTGACAAATGACTTTCTTAGAAAAACCATACTTACTTTAAGCTTCATTTTTCATATGTAACTTTACAGTTACCTATTTTGTTGTTTTTTTCTTCGATATTTTACAATAACTCTAATACAGGGAGCCAGGTTCTAGATTCCGAACCTATTTAAAGGAGCAAAATATCGTATTTATCTTCTATTAACTTTAACTATCAGTTGAAGGTTGAAATCTTATAATGATAATGCATGTCAAGATGAAAATGTGTACATTTTTAAGAACTTAGATTTTATTTGACTTTCAGTGATATTCTTAAACTTTGTGTATGTTTTGTTGCTATTTTTGTTCTTACTGTTTTCTTTTAGGAAAGTAAAATTAATCTTGGTTTTCCAGGCAGAAAGTAGCTATGGAAACTAATAATGTGTAATAAAATACCAAATAACTTTCTAAAAATGTTTTTATTTGTTTAGACTATTCTATAAACACAAGTTTTCTTTTCTCCACCATAGGACAAAATACGGACAGAAAGTTACCGAGATTTTATATACCAAAATCCACATATCTTCAAAGACAAAGTGAGTGTCATAGGCTACAGAATTGTACATTTCATGCAGATCTTGGCCAGTAGAAATCCTCTCTTGAGTTATTGTGATAGCCATTGATTTAGTGTATTCCGGCTTTATTTCATGGGAGACTTTTATGAAGTTGCTCTGTGGTGCAGAATACTGATAACAGAAATGCTGATTGGTACTGTTGTCATTCAGTATACAGACAATCCTCGGGTTACTTTGGACTCGATGTACATCGTTTCATGGTTACATCACCATCTCCCATTTATTTATTAAAAAAAAAGTTTCATCATTTCAACATATGTACATATGTGCTTTAAGTTTTTTATTATTTATTACCACAAGTAAAGGTCAGGAATTGTTATCTTTCTTTTAATTTCTTTTTTACTGTTTCACTTCATTACCGCTGTGTATGTGCTCCATGTGAGTGACGTAGGTGCTTATGTAGGTGGGTTCCGACATATGGTGAAAGTCGCATTAAGTCGCACCGTAGGAATGGATCTCCATAACCCAAGGACCTACTGTATTCTTTTTTTTAACTGAAATCATTAATTACAGTGACATAGCTTAGTTAAACTTTGGTTATCCAGATAATATTGCTTAAACCATATTTTTTATTTACTGTGCTTCTTGTGAATTTCAAATATCTGATAAACCCCATACCAAAGCACACTTTTCATTAATATTTCAGTTTGTTATTTAGTTAAAAATTAATAATCTTAAGTTACTGGTATGTAGGGACAAATAATGTAAGGTAGAATTTATATTATGTGCTTTCTTTTAAGACTTCATTTATTTGCTCCTTTGTGTGAGGCACTTTAAATTTTACAATTAATCTTCGTACTGCCTCAGGTTATTTCAAAGATGATCTTTCACACTGTGTGTTTATGTTTGAAATTTGTATAATTTGTTTTTCCTCGTGAATTTTTAAAAATATATTTTTATTGATTTCAGAGAGCAAGAGAGAGGGAGAGAGAGACAGAAACATCAGCGATGAGAGAGAATCATTGATCATTGATCGACTACCTCCCGCATGCCCCCTATTGGGGATCAAGTCTGCAACCTGGGCATGTGTCCTGACAGGGAATCGAACTGTGACCTCCTGATTCATAGGTTGATGCTCGACCACTGAGCCATGTCTGCTGAGGAAGACAGAATTTTTTAATAGTTTTTCTGTTTACATGCAAGTGCTGGAAAAATTTTATTTAATATATGTGTCTAAAAAAACCACTTCGGTCCAGCCATTGTGGCTCAGTGATTGAGTGTTGACCTATGAATGGTTCAATTCCCAGTCAGGGCATATGCCTGGGTGGGGTGCCAGCTCCATCTCCAGTAGGGGGTGTGCAGGAGGTAACCAATCAATGATTCTCATTGATGTATCTATCTCTCTATTCCTCTCCCTTCCTCTCTGAAATCAATTAAAAAATATTTTTAAAAATTAAGAAAACACTTTGTTTTTAGTGAAGCTGCTATGTTACCATTAGAAATTTTGCTTTATATTTATAGTTAGATTATGCTCAGATTTTAATTTTATTTTTTTTTCTTAATATGTGAACATAGAAACTAAGCATGTACTGGTCTGGGAATCACTAGTCTTTCCTGGCTTCTCAGGAACTAGCTATTTAATAATTTTAAAGAAGTGGTGAATGTTTTTGAGCCTCATCTGTAAAATGATTTTTAAAGCCCTTTTGGTTCTAAAATTATATTATTTTTGTTATAATAAAAGCACCATCATTGTCTCTCTTTGACTTATCTTTTCTTAATACTTTTTAAAAAATATATATTTTATTGATTTTTTACAGAGAGGAAGGGAGAGGGATAGAGAGTTAGAAACATTGAAGAGAGAGAAACATCGATCAGCTGCCTCCTGCACACTCCCTATTGGGGATGTGCCCGCAACCAAGGTACATGCCCTTGACTGGATCGAACCTGGGACCCTTGGGTCCGCAGGCTGACGCTCTATCCACTGAGCCAAACCGGTTAGGGCTCTTAATACTTTTTGATATGTATATATAACATAAGAACTTAAGTGAAGGTAAGTTAGGATCACAAGATTAATCATTGAAAAATTACGTAACTACGAATATTTCTATGTATATGGAGCACATCTTACTGGGTTCATAGACCTTATACACAGTCACTTCCTGCTGCTTGTTTTTTATTTGTAATAGTATTATAGAAATGTTGTATATATTATATATATTTTCAGACAAAATACATGACTGAGGAAAACATAGAATGTTTATTACTATCTTGTGTTCTGTTTGCTGCTCTTATTGAAGATAAATCTGCCAAAGTCAGAAAAGAGCTTATTAATAAGTTGGGAGTATATTTCTTTCATTCTTTGCTTAAGATGCTTTTATTTAACTTATCGATGTGCAATTAGTTTTGCTTGGCATTTATGGTTTCTCAAAAATATACTATAATGTAAAATATTACATGCATCAATTTCTAACTTCTTAAAGCACATTCAGGGGATGATTTTATGTAATTAAAAATATTACATCTAGGGCTTTCATATTTTTCAATGATTTGGGATACTTTTCTGTTATACTATGGGTACAGATTTAGAAAATATACTACCGTATATTTAATTAGCATTTGATAATTTATAGGTTACTTTCAAACATGTTGCCTCATTATTCTATACAGTATTCTATTTACCTCCATTTCACACATGAGGAATCTTGACGCCAATGGGGTAATTGACTTTCCTAAAATAGGCCATTAAAAATAAACAAACATGAAGCGTTTTAGTCCTAGTCTAGTGCCCTTACCCTATGCCACTACACTTTAGTACCATTATGTTAAAATAGAATGAGTAATTAGGGTGGCATTCATTAGTTATATTTTAAGTCACATTATTTTTTATATAGGTCATATAGTTTCTGTTCAAGAAATTACTGAAATATAATTCTTTTAAAATGTATGATATAGGGCTCTCCTAAGTTTTATTACCATTGTTTTTGTTTGCTTTATCTCCATTAGGTAGACAAACTTTATTTTCACAACACTAGCTTCTATATCATATTACACTAGGGGCCCAGTGCATGAATTCGTGCACCTTGAAAGAAACTGTGGGCGCGAGGCTGCAGTGGGCACAGGGGTGGGTCTCGGCCCATGCTCCATGCTCCCACCCAGCCCCTCCCACCATGGCCCCCGATCCCCTGTCTGCCCCAGCCCCATTTCCGCCACCGCTGCTCCCACATGCTGACAGCGCCAGCCCCAGTCACACCTGCTGACAGTGTGGAGCCATTGGGGCCAGTGCCAGGCGTGGGTGCGAGCAGGGCCAGCGCCATCAGCTGGTGTGAGTGGTGGCTGCTGCTCCGATCGCCCCTCAGGAGCAGGGGGAGATGGAAAAACCCTGAGGAGCGATCAGAGTCAGCAGCCGCAGCTCGCACCTGCTGACAGCAGCATGGGCGAGCACCCTGTGGGACCGTGGCATGCAAGAGCAAAGAATTTTCAGTAACCACCAGAGGCTCGCCCCGATAACAGCGACCAGCACCCCGCCTTGTTCTGGCGCCCTCACCTGCTCCACCATCCCACCACGGCCAATGCCCACCATGTTCTGTGCGTGCCCCCTGGTGGTCAGCACGTGTCATAGCAACCGGTTCAGTTGTTCTGCCGTTCAGTCTATTTGCATATTAGGGTTTTTTATATAGAGATAGATAGATAGATAGTGCAAGAAGAGATTTATTTTTCAAAAAAATGTTATACTTAAAAATGTGTTCCTTCCTCCTTTCCTTCCCTTCTCTGTCCATCCCTCCCTTCCTGCCACTTTCCCTTCATTCCTTTCGTAATATTGTTTCAGTTCACAGCTCCTGTGGAGGCCATATGGTTTCTCAGATTTAATTTAACTTTGGGTGGCATTTAATTGTGTTATCACCCATTTGTAATTAATTCCATTTGTGGTCCATTGAAAAAATTCACAGTGAGGTGCCTCCTTTATGCTTTTAATTATTACCTACAGTTAAAATTCACTTTTTTCTTTCTTTTTTTTTAGAAAAAGTGAATCAGATTTCTCCATGATTTTATGTGTTAGTTTATTCTGTTATCATTTGTACCTCTTTGATTCTATCAAGTTTTAGTTTATTTCCTCACTTATCTAATTCCCAGCTAGATATAATAAGCTAGAAGCCTGGTGCATGGATTCGTGCACCGGTGGGGTCCCTCGGCCTGGCCTGTACCCTCTCACAATCCAGGACCCCTCCAGGGATGTCAGATAGCGGGTTTCAGCCTGATCCCCATAGGCCTGATCCTTGCAGGCCCAATCCCTGAAGGCTTGATCTAGACAGGAGGGAGCCCGATTCTGTGCGTTGAGCGTCTGCCCCCTGGTGGTCAGTGCGTGTCATAGCCACCGTTTGACTGGTCATTTGGTCTCTTAGGCTTTTATATAGATAGATAGATAGATAATTAAGATACAATTAAAAATATAATTTAAAATACTGTAGGCTTGACCTATGTTTGAATGCCAGCTTTACAAATTATCAGCTGCATGATCCTGGACCTGTTTCTTTCCCTCGCTGAAGTTCACTTTCCTCATTTGCAAAATGAGGATTAAATAAGAATTATACGTATATATGCATATATTATATATGTGTGTGTGTGTGTGTGTGTGTGTGTGTGTGTGTGTGAGTGTGTGATAGTCTTGCAAAAGAATACAAACTCTAATTGGAGTGTATAATACATATCCTTTTGTACTTAGCTTTCATCACTCAGCGGTTTCTCTTAGAGGTAATTCTTTTTTTAAAATCCTCACCAGAGGATATGTTTTTATTGATTTTTAGAGAGACAGGAAAGGAAAGAGAGAGAGAGAGCCTCTTTTATAAATTTACTAATCCCGTTCATAAGGGCTCTGTCCTCATGACCTAATCACCTTCTAAAGGCCCCAGCTTCTCATACCACCACCTTGGGGTTTAGGATTTCAATATATAAATTTTGGTGGTGGGAGGAATGGCATACACAAACATTCAGACTATAGCAACCATATGTCAAATCAGTAGGGGAAACAGGCTCTTTAATAACATGTTAGGATAATTGGTTAGCCTTCTGAACAGAAGTAATTTTGGAACCATACCTCAGTGTATACCAAATAAGAAAACAAACTGTATTAATGAAACCATAAATGTACTAGAAGGAAATGTATAAGGATGAAATAGGAGAGAACATGGGAAAGATCATTCTAATTATGATCAAAATCCAGAATTCATAAAAGAAGAGTAATGAGTTTGACTGTTAGTAAAGAATTTTTTCATAACAAAAAAATCACTGTAAGCAGAATCAAAAACAAATATATGCTGAACAAAACCATTGCAAGTCACGTTGTAGAAGTATAATCTCCTTGATTTACAAAGAACTCTTATTTGATAAGACTTGGTAAGAAATATTTGATTAGAAAATTGATAAGAAAAGGACTAGTAACTCAGTGGAACAATGGAGAAAGGATATAAGTAGATAGTTCACATAATAAAGAACTACAGATGGCACTACAATATATAGAATGATGCTAAACTCCACAGTAATGGAAATTATGATCTCATTATTTTGCATTTGCCAGATTGGCAGAATACAAGAGTTTATCTGTCCCATGGGCTAGTCTCACCTATGAGGAAATGGGCACTTAGACATTGCTGGTTGGAGTCTTCATGAGTACAATTGCCCTGTGATGGGGCAATTTGGTTATGGTAAGCAGGGTTATAAATATGTATACACTCTCTGACAATATGTTCACTTCTAGAAATATATTCTATAGATTTACTCATGTGTGAATGGGGTTAGATATGAGGTTACTTACAGCATTGTCATAGTAAAATTTCAAAAGCTATTCAAATGCCCCATTAATAGAGAACTGGATTAGTAGATTATGTTACTGCCAAAATATGGAATCCAGTTACATAAGAGATGTTCTGTAAAGTGATATGCAAAGATCTTTATATTGTTAAATTTAAAAAAAGCAATATGTAGCACAATGGGCATAATATGCTTCCATTTATAAAAAGGGGAAACAAAGACATTGCATTGTATATGCATAAAAATTCTCTATTACTTTTACAAATGATAATGATTATCACTTTTAAAACTTAAATTCTCAAGTTACTGAATTCTAGATGTTAACTTGTTTTTATTGTAACTGTATTATTAAAATGAGTTCAATATTTAATTTTGGAAATGGAGGGGATGTGTAATATTTTATATCCGTGACTAGAGGCCTGGTGCATGAATTCATGTACCAGTGGTTTCCTCGGCCTGGCCTGTGGGATCGGGCCAAAACCGGCTCTCCAACATCCCCCAAGGGGTCCCGGATTGCGAGAGTGCACGATCAGGGCCAGGGAGAGATGTGGGAGGTTGGTTAGCCAGGGAGGGACCGTGGAAGGGTTCCAGGGCATGTCTAGTCCGTCTCGCTCAGTCCTGATCAGCTGGACCCCAGCAGCAAACTAACCTACTGGTCAGAGCATCTGCCCCCCTGGTGGTTAGTGCACGTTATAGTGACTGGTAGACTGCCCCCTGGTGGTCAGTTCACATCATAGCAACTGGTCGACTGTCTGCCTGCTGGTTGTCAGTGTACGTCATAGCAAGCGGTTGAGTGGCTTTAGCATATCATTAGCATATTATGCTTTGATTCGTTGAATGGCCAACTGGTTGACCAGACACTTAGCATATTAGGCTTTTATTATATAGGATTCTTGTGACCATTTTTAATTCTGTTGAATCAGGCTATCATGCTTAAGTTAATTCCTGCCATTCAAACTTGAGATAGTTTATTTCTGTTAAATTACTAAACCCAAATTAGTGCATGCGTATAATAAGGAAATTAAAAGCAAGATACTTTTCTATTCAGAAGTCTGTGGAAGTGACTTATTTCATATAAAACACCTCTTAAATTTACATTGTTGTGTCTGATTGCAACAGACTATGGCCACATACACTGTTATGAATGTAAAACAACCCATTTTAATGATATCCTTAGAAATTACCATATTTGATAAAGTTTTAAAATTTAATGATCAATTCCTAGTCAGAAATAGCATACTATATAAATAGAATTTAAAATATTAGATCTTTTCAATAACATCTGTTTGTTTGTTTTTTAATTTTTATCACACTAGGTAGTTTTGGATGTTGGTTGTGGAACTGGAATTCTCTCTATGTTTGCTGCTAAAGCCGGGGCAAAGAAGGTTCTTGGAGTTGATCAATCTGAAATCCTTTACCAGGCAATGGATATCATAAGGTAGATGCATTTTAAAGTTTGGCTTAAGATTATTTTTAAGTTTGATGATTAACAGGTTTTCTTGTCTTTAGTAGCTGTCTAATGCAGACTCAAGACATTTATCTTTTAGTAAAAATTTATTCCAGAATAATAAGATTTTAAGTTGAGCTAGACATGTGTGGTCTATGAATAATCTTTTCACTTTTCTCATTGATGAAAATTATTATTTTATTTTTTTAATATATTTTATTGATTTTTTTACAGAGAGGAAGGGAGAGGGATAGAGAGTTAGAAACATCGATGAGAGAGAAACATCGATCAGCTGCCTCCTGCACACCCCCTATTGGAGATGTGCCCGCAACCAATGTACATGCCCTCAACTGGAATCGAACCTGGGACCCTTTAGTCCACAGGCCGACGCTCTATCCACTGAGCCAAACTGGTCAGGGTGATGAAAATTATTTTTATATAACTTTCTGTCTTTCCAGTTATGGCTATATGTATGCTAATCTATAATAATAAAAGCATAATATGCTAATTAGACCGGGCGTCCTTCCAGATGTCCTTCTGGATGAAGCCAACGGCCAGAGGGAAGCCTGGATCCCAGGTGCCTGCTGGCAACCGGAGGGAAACCCAGGTTCTGGGTGCCAGAGGGAAGTCAGTGCCGGCAGCCTGGGGAAGGAAGGCCTACTCTTGCATGATTTTCGTACATCAGGCCTCTAGTTATAACATAAAATTAGAAGTAATTTGCATACATGATAATATTGTTAGAGGACTCTACAGAACTAAATATTCATATCAGTAATATTTCCTTTAGTAAACAGCAATTAGATTAAACCCTAAGGGTATCCTTTTCTTTTTGATGGTATTAGATTCCTTCACATTAAAATATGTAAATTCCAAAATGGCTACAAACACAGTAGAGTGGATTTAATTTTTCCTCTAAAACTTAATTTTGTTCTCTAAAAATACTTCCTCTCTTTGAGGAGGTTAGTTAGGTGATTGATTTTACGATTGGCTTATGTCCTAATAAAAAGACCTTTATTTGAACTACAGCATATAGAACTAGATTTCTTTAGCTATGTACTTAACAAAAGCACCTTACATTTGGAACTTACAAGTAATTTTCAGGATAGATAATTAATAGGAGGCCCCTTAGCTATTCTTTTTTTCCCCAACTTTATTGAGAATTGACACACAGCACTGTGTAGGTTTGAGGTATACAGTGTGTTGCTTTGATACATTTATGTATTGCAAAATGATTATACCATAGCATTATCTAATTACCCCCATGTGTCACATACCTACCATTTCTTTTTTGTGGTGATAACATTTAAGATCTACTCTCTTAGGAAGCTTAAGTACTTAATGCTGTAATCACCATGCTGCACTGTACCTTAGACCCCCAACAGCGATTCTTAAATGATCTTCACTGATACTTATGTTCTATTTTTAAAATTGAATAACATTTATCTTTTCTGGGTAGTATAACATTTAAATATGATTATGTAAAATGTTTAAATTTTTGGATTTTATGTCATGATATAAAAGTATAGATTTGTGGTTAAGAACACATGGATTGAGTCAGGCTTGGATTCAAGTTCTTGCTCTACCATTTGAACTTTGATTACATTATATGTAACCTTTTTGAAATATTGTTTCACTGTCAAAATGAAAATAATAATGACTACCTCATCTGGTTAGGAGTAAGGTAAATAAGTTATGAATGAAGTATACATACAACCTTTTTGTATACATGTAACCTCGTAGTAGGTATTCAAAAGTTAGCTACTATTACTGTTAATTAACAAGTGCCAAATTAATGTTAATGAAGAAAACTATATTGATCTTGCTTAGATTATTCATAGATATAGGTTTGTGGTTATGATTTTCATTTTGGAGAATATGCATATACATATGTGGTTATTTATATATATACATGTGAGTATGTATATATGTGTGTGTGTGTGTATATATATATACATATATATATATGCAGTTCCATAATTTAGTAAAAAAATTTTTCTAGTTCTTACACTACCATTTAGTATAACATCATTTTGGGGGGAGGCAAAGAGCATCCTCACTTGCTTGTGCATTGCTATCCAAACAATATGAGTACCATGTCCCAAAGAAGAGATTGTTTTAGAGGATTATCAAAAATGTATTGTTGATAATAAGATTATGGTAAGAATTCCTATTATAAGTTCTCATTTTATGAAAGACCGTGTCTATGTGTTAATTTGTCATTTTTTATTTCTATAAGGCAAAACCAGATGTGCTCTCATTTTAATTTCTTTATGGAAGAAAAGAAAAAGAATAGTGATAACACTCATTTTATTTTGTATTGTTTTGTTCCACTTTGTTTCACTCTCCTTATTTGTAATGGAGCCAGTGTTAGATCCCAGACAGCCTGATCCCACAGTCCATCTTCATTTAGTATAACATCCATTTAGTATAACATCATTTTGGGGGGGGCCATAAAGAGCATCCTCACTTGCTTGTGCATTGCTATCCAAACAATATGAGTACCATATAAGAGATTGTTTTAGAGGATTATCAAAAATGTATTGTTGATAATAAGATTATGGTAAGAATTCCTATTATAAGTTCTCATTTTATGAAAGACCGTGTCTATGTGTTAATTTGTCATTTTTTATTTCTATAAGGCAAAACCAGATGTGCTCTCATTTTAATTTCTTTATGGAAGAAAAGAAAAAGAATAGTGATAACACTCATTTTATTTTATATTGTTTTGTTCCACTTTGTTTCACTCTCCTTATTTGTAATGGAGCCAGTGTTAGATCCCAGACAGCCTGATCCCACAGTCCATCTTCATAGTCAATTTGTTGCTTTCAATAGTTTGATTTTACTTAGAACCTATAGACTTTGAAAATCACGCCTTTTTGTTTGGATAAGTCAACATTGTACCGTTTCTTCAGCAATGTTCTCCTTTGTTTCTTATGTTGTGGAAAGATAGCTATTTCCATTGTGTTCATAAGCATCTCTTTGTCTTCCATTCAAAAACTTGAAATTTACACTATAAAGTGAGTTAACCTTTGGTATTCTGTTTGTGAATGCATCTGTAAAAGAATATGCAGGAAACAGTTTATTTTTAATATCACCAGGATATACTGGCCCATTAGTCTACCATTTGAGGAGGCAGCATAGCATACTTCTCTCAGCATCTGGAATCACATGACTTAATTTCTAATTTTGGCTTTTTCACTTACTAGCTTTATAATAATGGACAAATTACTTCTTTAAATCCTGGTTCCTTTATTTATAATGTTCATGGTAGTATCTCTCATAAGATTCTTATAAGGATTAAATCCATTCTCTTACACTATAAAATTTTAAACTTTAGCCAGTTTTATTCTGTACTCACTCTCCTCCCTTGAAATCTGCTCTCAAAGTCTCTTACAGTTGTTTATTATTGCATACTACAGACCCGGTGCATGAAATTTGTGCGGGGGGGGGAGGGGGGGAGAGGAGGGTCCTTCAGCAAACCCTCTTGCAATCCAGGACCGCTGGCTCGTAACCGCTGGCCTGCCTGCCTGCATACATGGTCACCCCTAACCACTCAGACTGCCTGCCTCATAGCTCTTAACCACTCGCCTGCCTGCCTCATCTCCCCTAATCCCTCTGCCTGCCTGCCTGATCGTCCCTAACTGCTCGCCTGCCTGCCTGATTGCCCCTAACCCCTCTGCCTGCCTGCCTAATAGCCCCTAACTGCCTCTGCCTCAGCCCCCGCCTGCCACTGCAGCCGCCTCTACCTTGGCCCCTGCTGCCGCGGCTTTGTCTGGAAGGTCGTCCGGAATGATGTCCGGAAGGTCATTTGGCTGTCCAGTCTAATTAGCATATTATGCTTTTATTATTATAAATTGTAGCTTCCTAGAACTACCATCATTCAGTGAAAACAGCTCTTCCAGTTAGCAGACTGTGAGTTGTCTTTAGCTCTTCTGAAGCTTCTTTCTCTGTCAGAAATCTGTACAGAGCAGAATTTCAATAAAACTCCATATGGTTACATCTGTAAAAACACTTGACATGCTAAAAGGTGGATACTTTTTAAATGCATTTTTCATTATTCTTTTAAAAGTATTCCATTTACAATCCTTGAATTGTGTTCAAAATAATTTTTATCACTTTTCTCTGTTTAGAAAAGAGATCTAACATCTCTAAAGAAATGAGTTTAGAATGGAGTAAGTTTTGTTTTTTTAATAAACTGATATATATATATATATATATGTATATATCTTAGGGCTTATATGTATAGTATATATTAAATATAAATAAAAAGAAGAAGGTAAGACTTATAGTTCTGAGGTGGCAGACATGTATAAAGAAGAATATAGATGTTCAAAGGTGTTATATTAGCAGGACCAAATAGAACTCAATGTGATACACAGAAGGAATGAGAAATTGTTTTTTATTCTTGCTGTCATAGTTGGAACTCTGCAGTGAATGATCATTTCAGAAACATAAACTTACCTAAGGATAGCAAAGCCATTCAATCGCCAGATAATTGTACATTTTCACGCTCAGGAAGCAGTGGTAGCTTCTGGTTATATTTTTATTATTATTTTGGTTGTTTTTTATCAGCTCTGTCATGGACTTGCTCATTATTCAGACTTTTGAATGTTATTGCAGAGGAGTTTTCGTAAGAAGGTTGATCTATCATGTAGCTGCAATGCAGTATTTTTAATCTCAGTATGACATTAAAGATGAAATATTTTATATTGCCTGTATCTAAGATACTGTTAGAAATGAAACATTAAGAAAAGCCAAGAGAATATTTTGATCTGTTGTTATGCTTATATGTCCTTTAGTTTCTAGGATAGGAGCTTTATCTTCTTAATCTTTTTATCCCTAACACCTAGCAAATTGATACATGCTAGATGGTGAGTAAAGGCTTTTTAGAAGAATAAAGTAACAACATAATGATTTAAAAAGTTGTGATATTATATATATGTATGTGTGTGTGTATATATATATATATGATGGGGAACAAGACCAAAATATAGCAGGATAAAATTCTTAAAGGGATGTTCCTTTATATTTTGTTTCTAAATTTATTTTTTTAAATATTTTTAATATATTTTTATTAATTTCAGGGAGGAAGGAAGAGGGAGAGAGAGCTAGAAACATCAATGATGAGAATCATTGATTGGCTGCCTCTTGCACGCTCCCCAGTGGGGATTGAGCCCGCAACCTGGGCATGTGCCCTTGACCTGAATCGAACCCGGGACTCTTGAGTCTGCAGGTCGACGCTCTATCCACTGAGCCAAACCAGCTAGGGCTTTGTTTCTAAATTTAATAAAATTACAGAAAAGTGAGTTTAAACTGAACAGAATTTTGAACCACTGATGAGGCTAAAATGACAAAAATATTTTGCTGCTCAGAAGACACAGATTTCTAATGAAGGTTGCCAAGACACCTTACAAGGAAACTAAAATCATTTCTTCTCCCACCCTACCAACTCCTTAATTTCCTGTCCACTCAGTGGTTCTGTCTTGGGGGGTCCCGTGACTACCTAACTAGTTCAGTGGCTCCCTAGAAGAACTCAGTGACTCAATATAAAGTTGTATTCACAGCTAAGATTTATTACAGCAAAGGATATAGTCCAGGGGCAGCAAGAAAAGGGAAGCCATCACGAAAGAGGTCATGTACAGGCTCCCAAGTAATCCCTCTTTCTCTGTAAGAGTACAGATGTACTTTTCTCTGTACCTGTGAATTTCAGAGGTACTTGTAAGATGTCTCTTCCCAAGGAAGTTGGCTTGAGTTTTAGAGTTCATAGTTTTCAAAGGGCTGGTCACATAGGCAGCACATACTTGCTTTGTGACCAGTCGTAGTGTAAATCCATGTCAGATACCAGGTGCACATCCGGAATCTTCATGTTTACTTTAAATATGCTGTCATCCTGGTTTATCTTGGTTCATGGCTTCAGGTATATGGAATGGATAGCATCATTACTCTTACATTTCCCACCTGAATTAATGCATCTGCATGTAACTGACTCAGTTATTTGTTCTTTGTCTTTGCCTTCCACAGCTCTCTGTCATTCATTCTCTCTAGTGCAGCCAATTTTACTTCCCTACCCAATTCTCCTCCCTTTTAAATTAAAGAAAGGGGAGATGTTTTTATGTTAAGAAGACATAAGAGAGGATAGAGAAGAATTGACAGTTACCTATGATCTTGTTATGAGATAGGAAAGTGTTGATTTTTCTAACAAATTTACACTCAAAAATTAGTAATTTCTTTGCCTATTGGATTAGTTAAGAGATTTACTTAAGGTACCTTTTTATTGCAATGTCATATTTCTATAGATTAAAGCTATGGTAGTATTTGAGCAGGTGTTTCCAGAGATAGAATTCATTTAGAATGTTTTTATGCTAAAGTAAGGTTTAGTGAGGAGCTGCTTGAGAACAGTAAGTAAAATCTATAGTTTTTTTCATGAATGAGATATTAGATGGTGATTAAGGTAAATAGTCTCATGAAAGAGGTTATCTATGTAAATAATATCTGTGTTAAGCTATTTTAATACAGAATTACTGGGAATTATGGCCTTTGTCATTTATTTTCTGTGTGTTCCCTGAAATCTTAATCTTTCCCGCTATATTTATATTTGAACAAGTAATTACTGATGCAAATAGGATTATGACTTGTAGGAGACAATAAACAGCCTGAGCAGATGGCCTCTTACAGAGCACATCTTGTTTCTGCATAAGCATTCTGAAGATATTTTTAGGCAATGGGAAAAGTTTTCTCTTTTAAGAAGCTTGCTTTTGTTTTCTTTGAAGTGTTTGTAACTGTTAAAGCCTTAATAAATGTTTCAGTCAATAGTAAGCAATTGTAGCAATTTTGTCAGAAAGAATTATATGAAATATTCCCTTGAAAAAACTTAAACATGATATAGGCATTCTTTTTTTAACTTTTGTGTGAAATATAGCACACATTAAGTGTATGGAACATAAAAATATGTTATAATATGCATAACTAACAAGAACTATAATGAATCTATTTTATTTTAGAATCCCACCCACCTGATTTCACTATACATAAATCTGACAAGGTTTTTATCCAGAACATGTAAAGAACTCTTTAAAACTCAATAATAATGTTACAACTGAACCGAGTTTTAAAATGGGCAAAAAATTCGCACAAAAGACAGTACAGGAAAATGACCATTTAGCATACTAAAAATATGTTTGGTCATTAGGAAAATGCAATGGTGCAATCTCACCATGCAGTTACATTTAAAATATTAATAATGCTAAATGTTGACAAGGATTTGAATAACCATGAATGCACATATATTGTTGGTGGGAATGTAAAATTGTACATGCACTTTTTAAAACAAATTGGCAGTTTCTTTAAAATATTAGTTATACACTGCCATTCGATAGGGCAATTCTACTTGCACACAAATATTTATAGCAGCTTTATTTATAGCTCAAAGCTGGAGACAGTCCAGAATTCCATTCACAGTGGTGTGGATAAATAAAATTGTATTTTATCATGCAGTGACATACTACTTACCAATAACAAAGAATGAACTACTTATATACACAAAAATATGTATGAATCTAAAAGGTATGCCTGTTGAAAGAAACCAGACACAAAGGATACATTCAGTATGATTCCATTGATATGAAACTCCTCAAAATACAAATCTAAGATACAGTGGAAGGGAAGAAAATCGGTAGTTGCCTGTAGATAGGAAGATTTTTCTGGGAAGGAGCACCTATGAATCTTTTCGAGGAGATAGAAATGTTCTATATATTGATGATGATGGAGGCCACCCAAGTATCTCAGTTTTAAAATTCAACAAAATTTACCCTTACAATGAATGTATTTTATTTTATGTTAAAAATACCTCGATGAAGTTGAGGTGGGAAATTCCTTTTTGTTAGCAGGAAAAAAAAATCCTTTATAATTCACATATACGTCCTCTGATGATTAAGAATTTATTTAACTAGTTATAAACTTAGTAGCTTGCTTTTAGCATTTTGATATGATCTCTTTAACTCCATTACTTATTTCATATTACAAAAGAGAGGGTGAAAAGTCTGTGCTAATATTATGATCAAACATGTAAAAATATCAAATGAATGTCATTTGACAAAATTAATTTATGATTGGAGCACAATTTCAAGTTTTATACAGCATACATCACATTGTTATTATAATGATATCATTACCATTATGTAGTGCTTGAAGATATATATATAGCTTTCATAAATATTTGATCTCATAGTAAGTCGTGACATGGATAGGCAGGTATCATTATTCTCTTTTACACATGAGCACATAGGCTCTGTGAGGTTATTATAATTCGCTGAAGATCACTTAGCTGACAAGTGCTAGAGAATCTGGGATTCAAAGTAAGGGCTTCTGGCTTCTAATTCTCTCTTCAATGTGACACACTTCCCTTTAAAATATACTTTTGTTGGCTAGTCTGTCTGTCTCCACCCCTCCCTTAAACAAAAGACCTGTAACTTTATTGATATGTATTCTTGATAAAATTAGAATTTTTCAGGATGAAGTTTTTTTTAAGTCCTCACCTAAGGATATGTTTTTATTGATTTTTAGAAAGAGAAGAAGGGAGAGGAGAGAGAGAGAGATATCAAGGCATCATTCGGTTGCCTCCCATACAACCCGAAAGCTAGGTATGTGCCTTGACCATGTGCCCTGACCGGAAATCAAACCCACAACCTCTTGGTGTAGGGGACAACGCTCCAACCAACTGAGGCACCCGGCCAGGGCTCAGGATGAAGTTTTAAATATTGGTTCACTGTATTGCATTATTAACTAACAATAATCCTGGGCATTCATGAAGTGACCAAAAAGTAATTATATGCCCAGGAAATAAACTTTGAATATACTTTCAGTTCCACAAAATAATTTGAAAAGTTGTCAAGAAATTATGTAATTTAACTAGTTTTCAGAATCTGTTTAACATACTAATTTAATTCATTATGGTAATTTTCAGACTAAATAAACTTGAAGATACTATCATACTAATTAAAGGAAAGATTGAAGAAGTTCATCTTCCTGTAGAAAAAGTGGATGTTATTATATCTGAGTGGATGGTAAGTATCGGTAGAAAAAGTGCTTTTATTGGTTTAAAAAACCCCAGTAAGATAGCAGTTTTCTGCATTTAATTTTATTTGATAAATGGCAGAATGGTGGCATTATTTTAAAAGCAGCTGTAATTTTTCTGTGGTACTTGATTCTGAAATAGCCCTTATTTACTGGCCATTCATAATCTTTTTTGAAAAAGCATAAATCAACTCAAAAAGGGAACGAGTGAGACACGTGATGCTGGGCTGATGTTGTGGCGTTCACTGTGACGTTCGCTGCGCCAACTAGCAGTGGGGTATCTGAAGCTGGCTCGTAACCCGAATTTTAGCTCACAACTCAAAGCAAAAAATCGGCCGAGAGACGGCTCGTATCTCGAAAAACTCGTTAGTTGGGACACTCGTAAGTCAAGGCCCCACTGTACTTGATTCTGAAATAGCCCTTATTAACTGGCCATTCAAATCTTTTTTGAAAAAGCATAAATCAACTTTTTTTTTTTTTACTTTTAAAGTCATAATAAAGAATTACTGTATTATTTTTCTACTTTCTAAGTTTTAGAGACCTAAATATGTTTGTGTAAAAGACTCCAAACACTAGTAAGGACTTATTAGTATTGTTTTATCAAAATTAACATGATGTTGCTTTTATTGCTATCATACTGAATGTCCTGTCTTTCTGATTTGTTAGACCATACTATCAATGTCTTCTATTGCATAAAGTAGAATTTATTGGCATTATTAAAATAATAGAATTAAGGTACACTATATAACTTTATAATTTACTTTGGAAATAAGTCAAAGCAGAATATTTATTTTTAAATGTGTAAAGTAAAACTAATGTTATTTGACAACTGATTTGACTTATTGATATGCCAATTCGACAAAGATAAGGTATATAGTATTTCTACATAGATAAAATTTTAATCATTTAGACAGTTTTAAGCTTTTGTAAAAAACCATATTTGAGCCCTAGCCAGTTTGGCTCAGTGGATAGAGCATTGGCCTGCAGACTGAAGGGTCCCAGGTTCAATTTCGGCCAAGGGCACATGCCTGGGTTTTGGGCTCAATCCCCAGTGGGGTGTGTGCAGTAGGCAGCCGATCAATGATTCTCTCTCATCATTGATGTTTCTCTCTCTCTCTCTCCCTCTCCCCTCCTCTCTGAAATCAATAAAAGAAATATATTTAGAAAAAACAAAACAACCCTAGCTGGTTTGGCTCAGTGGATAAGAGCGTTGGCCTGCGGACTGAAGGGTCCCAGATTCAGTTCTGGACAAGGGCACATGCCTAGGTTGCAGGCTTGATCCCCAGTAGGGGGGTGCAGGAGGCAGCCGATCAATGATTTTCTCTCATCATTGATGTTTCTATCCCTCTCCCTTCCTAAGATCAATAAAAATATATTTTTAAAAAAAGACGCACACACAAAAAAACAACTGTATTTGAAACATATATTTTCATTAAATGAATTTATCAAAAAATTAAAAATAATCTGTTTTATTTTATAACTATGGATAAGGGACCTGCGGACTCAGTCTCCTCTCTCCTGCCCACCCCCCCCCCCAAAAAAAAAAAAAATTACACCACCATCTCCTGCCAGCACTACCACCAAGAAGCCATTCCTCATCACCGCTGAAAATTTTGAATAAACATAATTTTAGCCAAATAGCTGGAGTTTCAGGGAGATTTTGGAATGTTCAGATTTAATGTAGTGTTAAGTTCCAATCTGGAGCCAGTGACAGTCATCATTGCTACTCTTTTGTACATGAAACAGTGTGTTGATTTTTTAATGCCTCTTAACCTCCTTTATAGTTTCTAATGTTTTGACTTTCTGGGCTGCACTCTGGATAATTTTTTTTCATTTCAGTCCACCAATTTACTAATTCTTTCTGAAGTTATTTCTTTTTTTCTTTTAAAAAAATATTTTATTGATTTCAGAGAGGAAGGGAGAGTGAGAGAAGAGAGAAACATCAATGATGAGAGAGAATCATTGATTGGCTGCCTCCTGCACACCCCCCACTGGGGATTGAGCCCTCAACCTGGGCATGTGCCCTTGTCTGGAATCGAACCCGGGACCCTTCAGTCCACAGGCTGACACTCTGTCCACTGACACAAACCAGCTAGGGCTCTAAAGTTATTTCTAATAATTAGTTAAACTCATCCATTGAGTTTTTTATTTCAATTTTGTTTTAGGATTTTTTTGGTTCTTTTAAAACTTTGCACGCTTATTATTATTATCTTCAAGCTTCTTTTCATTTAATGAATCATAACATACTTATTTTACATTTTGTGTTTTTGATTTCAGTATCGAACATAGGGCTGCTTTTGCTATTGTTTCTGTTGCCCCTCACTCATGGTGCTTTGTTCTTTTGCATTTTGAGTGTTTAGTACTCTTTAATGTTATGCTATATATTTTCCAAGGAAATTATCTGTGGAAAATTTTTTGATGCCTGGGTTTTACCTTAAATGATTTGCACTTTTTTCCCCCCGTATTGCCATGTACCTGGGATAATGATATAGTAAAGGCAAAGCCATTGCATTTAATTTTAATATTATAAAAACAGTTGACTAAGGAACATTTTTAATGTAAAAAAATATAGAATGAATGTTTCACTGAACTTCATGCACCCATCATCTAACTTATCAGCATTTGCCCTTTTTTTTTTGTTTTATCTGTCTCCATGCTATTACCCTTTTCTTGCTATCTCTAACCGATAAGGACTTTTAAAATATATATATTCCTTATGCCATTGTGAAGCCTAACAAAATTATCAGTGTAGCCACAATTCCATGTTACATGAAAAATTCCTTAATATCTAGTCTGTGTTCACATTTCCCTGATTGTTTCATGAATTTTATTTTGTTTTTACACTTCATTTTTTTGAATCAGGATCTGAGTTAGGTCCACATATTGCATTTGGTTATCTGTTTTATAAATTTTTATTTCAATTAAGCTTTTATTTGAGATAATTATAGATTATCACATGCAATTATAAGAAATAATACAGAGATCACTTATACTCTTTACTTGTTTCTGTCAATGAGAATATCTTGAAAAACTATTACACAGTAGAGCAACCAGGATCTTAATATTGATACCATTGAGATACAGAACAGTTCCATCCCTATAAGGATCCCACCTGTTGTCCTTTTATGACCACACCACCTACCTCTTCCAGTTCTCACCTTCATCTCTGGCAACCAGTAATATGTTCTCAATTTCTATAATTTTGTCACTTCAAGAATGTGGTACAAAAGGAATCATGTATTATGTGAACTTTGGGGATTGGCTTTTTAAAATTAATATAATTCCTTGGAGAGTCATCCAAATTATGGTACCTATCAATAGTATGTTCCTTATTTCTGAGTAGTATTCCATGATATGGATGCACCATGGCTTAACCATTTGACTTTTGAAGGATATCCAGTTTGGGGTTTTGTCTCCTGTTTTCCTATGTTCATTCACTAGGTTTAGCAAATGCTTTCAAGGTGAAAGTCAGCTTACTGTTGCATCTAACAAGATGTTCTTTTTATTTCTTCTATCATATTTGTTGTACTTAGAGGATCATTAGCTCCTGAAATGCATTGTTGCTGGAAATGGAATGAGATCTTGTTCTTAAATTCTGAAGCAGACTGTTAATGTTCATCTTTTCTGTAGCCTCAAAAGTATATAATTTATAAGCATTATAGAATCACTCTGTTATATATGGGTACCTTAACATCATTTTCTTTAATAAAGTGCTAATAATGTAATTGTATTTTTAAGAGAATATCCGGTTATAATTATTGATTTTTATCAATCACCGTGGGGGTTGGGAATCCTACCTAATAAAGAGGGAATATGCTAATTGACCCTTATGCCATTGCAAAGGTGACACCCACAGTCACTAAGGAGGGAATATGCTAATTGACTGCTCTGCTCTCAAAGATGGCAGTGCCCACAGCCACAAGATGGCTGGCAGGGGAGGGCAGTTGTGGGCGATCAGGCCAGCAGGGGAGGGCAGTTAGGGGCAACCAGGCCAGCAGGGGAGGCAGTTGGGGGCGACCAGACCTGCAGGGGAGGGCAGTTGGGGGCGACCAGCCAGCAGGGGAGAGCAGTTGTGGGCGACCGGGCCAGCAGGGGAGGGCAGTTGGGGGCGATCGGGCCGGCAGGGGAGCAGTTAGGCATTGATCAGGCTGGCAGGCAGAAGCGGTTAGGGGCAGTCAGGCAGTTGGGAGCGGTTGGGAGCCAGCAGTCCCAGATTGGAGAGGGTGAAGGCTGGGCTGAGGGATTACCCCCCTCCGAATTTCGTACACTGGGCCTCTAGTCCAGTATAATGAAAGCCTAATATGCTAAGTGTTTGACCATTCATTTCACTGTTCACTGTTCGACCAGTCACTATGATGCGCACTGACCACCAGGGGGCAGACACTCTGACCAGTAGGTTAGTTTGCTGCTGAGGTCCAGCTGATTGGCCCTGGAGCCCTCCAGCTGGCCCCGGTCGCCCCGATTGGGACTGGGCTAGGTGGGCCGGACATTCCCTGGATGAATCTGTGCGCCTGGCTAGTTGTTTTAGAAAAACACATTCATCCTCTACCCTTGTCCTTGGAAACTGATTCTGTGATTCTGGAGTAAGGTCCACATGTACATTTGGAAAGATCTCCAGGTGATTTTCTTTTTTTGTAAACTTCCTGATTGGACAGATAGCTGCAGTTTGGAGAAAAGGGCTAATTTGACTGGTCAGTCTTTTGATTAAGTGAGAGTGCCATCTAGTGGAGGAACGACTTAAACTAATAAATGTGTTTCAAACCCTTAGAAGAATATGCAGAGGAAATTAGCTCTTGTTCTGAGTTATGTTCTCCACAAGTCCATGCCATTGAAAAATGAGAACTGTATGTTGTAAGGGATGAGAGGAGGAAAAGGAAGTAATCATGCAGGACAATAGCAAGTGCACAGAATAGGCTCTTAATAAGTGGTAGTTATTACCATTATTCTCATTCTTCTTGCATTGAAGCTAGTGATTAGTGAAATAATAATG